ATAAAGTGAGATGAGTGCCGCAACCCCAGAGTCGGTCGCGACTGGACCTAATGGTCAGGGTTCCCTTTACCTTATGTAGATGCTTTCCACACCCCATGGTGCATCACTGCCTGATCTTCTGTGTGTCTGGGGAACCCAATGGAACGGGGCTCTCAGCTTCCTTGTCTCTCTTGCTGTGATTCCAACCTGCCTTGTGTTGTTTGCTTTTATTTCATGGGGACATTGGGGGCAGGGTTTACATGCATACCCACCCTATTATCCATGGACATAGCTAATGCCCTGAGCATGCCTAATGTCTCTACTGTAAGCCATATTTAGTTTGGGAGGGGGAAAAATAGATTTATTCAAGTCCAGGCTCATGCGCTTAAGGCCTGTGCACAGTGCAAAGGGGGAAAGAGCAGGATCCATATAGGAGATGATACTTAAGCTAATTAGTCTGATCCTGTTATGCAAAGTGATGTGATGCTCATTCTTTACATTTTTTTTTTTAATGGCCAGAAAGCTAAAGATGATTCCATAATAGTTATTGTTGATCAATGGAAACTCCTAGAGCCATTACAATGGTGTGTTGATCTGGACTTCCGGGGTGGCGCCATCGGCAATGGCAGACTCCCTCTGAACTGGAGGGACTAGCTCCGCGTGAAACGGGTCTTTTCCGCTACAGCGAAGCGGGGACCCTTTTAAAAATCACAGGCAGATGAAGCCTGTGACCATGGGACTCGGCGGGCACCCTTAGCGCCCCCCCCAACCCGCAAAGGAACCCACTAATGGGCTCCGAAGCGAAGAGGGGGAAGCGGCGCGGTGCTGTGAGTCAACTGCTATTTCCGTGGAGCGAAGCCGCATAGCCGTTGCTGGAGAGCGCTGCCTTTTTCCTGGGACAATTTGGCTTCTAAAATAAGCACCCGTGAGTACTTAAACTTTGAACAAATTGGACTTTAAATAAGGATTTGCGAGCAGAAAGGAATTGGATTTTAAAATTTACTTCAATTTGGTACTGAAACGGGAAGGTCTAAACAGGAAGTCAGCCTTCCGTTTCTTTGTAGAAAGAACAAAGCAAAGACAACGTAACTACAGCTTAGAAAATCGCTTCTAAAGGATCAGCTTTCATCATTTAAAATCCTCGAACCCCCCTTCGGCAGCAGGAGAAGAAGGGGGATCTTTTTCGGAGTGTTTAAACCTGCAGAAGTGAGTTTAAAGTAAAGTAACTTTCCACCGTCCTGATCCTGGAGCGGGGTGTCAGGACTGACGTTTGAAGCTCATTGACCAGAGACAAACGTTTTTGACAGATAGCTAAAAGAAGAGAAACATAGTGATTCCACTGTTTCCTTTCGCATTTTAAAGGAACAAATATTGACAAAATATCTTAAAAAAGAAACTTTGTTGCAAGAACAACTAGAAGTTTTCCCCCTAGAGGGAGACTGGGAAACTAACTAATTCCAGGGAGCTTGCAGCTGTCACAGATTACAATTGTGGGAAAAGGCTTGTGACCTTGTAGGACAATGAATTCAGAAGCTCTGTTGTGTGCTCTCTGTAAAATAAATACTCTACTGGAACAGTTAATTGAGAAGACGGATTTGATGACTAATGCGTTCAGAATTTTTGAACAGGCAGTGGGAAACTATATGGAGCCCACCCAGGAATTAAATCAGGAGTGTGCCCTGACAGAACAGATGAGAGAAGAGGATGTTGTGCAATCTTGGGCGCCAGAGATGGAGGGAGCTGCGGCCCAGCAGGAACATGAGCTTTTGGATTTGACAAATGAACTTGGAAAAAGCCAGATTAGGAAAGATAAAGTTTGGACTGATTTGGAAATGGGGGGTTGGATAGACCCCCCTATGCAGGGATGTTTGGACTTTCCGAGTCTGGCAATGGGCCGTGAGATGTTTGGAGCTGTGGGGGCTCTCAATTTTGGAGGGATTCTGAAATATGACATTAAATACTACATGGAGTTTAGTCTGGACTATGGAAAAGGGGCTGATTTGTTGTAAAGGGTCAAAAATATTACCAAGCTGGAGTTCCCACGAGTGAAAGGTGAATATGAAGAAGAGCTGCGGAAGGGACATGAAAGGGACTTAAGGGCCTCGGATATAAGGTTACCAGGTTAATGCGCTAGATCGATGGGATAAAAAGGACTGACAAAACCCAGGACCAGGAGGAAGGGACGCTGGATGAAGATTGGATTGTTTCTATTTTTTTTTTTTTTATTGCTAGGATTGTTTTATAAAATTGATGACTGTTAGAAAAATGTTGGAACGAAATTACTTGGCTCTAGCAAAAATGTTTAAAGAATTAGGCAAGAATATTATGGTCATGAGAAGTGGGTAAAAATAAGATTTAAGTTTTAAGTTTTTTATAAGATAAGATGAAAATAGATCAAGGTAATGTAATGACAGAATATTATGAAATATGGAAAGGATTTGCTGCAATAATTAATAACTGGGATACAAAAAAAGGGAGGAGGAGGAGGTCAAAGAAAGAAGGTAATGAAAGTTGAAGATTTGAGAATGTTGGTTTTATTTTTATATGTTTGTGGTGTATTTTTGTTTTTTGAATTTGTATTGTTGGATGTGGTTTGTTTTCTTTTTCTCTTTTCTCTTTTTTCTTTTTTCTTTCTCTGCTTTGTCTTTTTCTGTAATTTTAAAAATTTTCAATAAATATCATTAAAAATAAAATAAAATACAATGGTGTGTTGATGTGCCTGGCATTAATCCTGTATACCTTTGTGCCCATGACATAACATCCTCCCATGAGCACTAGAGGGGGGGGAATAAACAAAAGCAATTTCAAATCCAATCTAGATGAGTAATTCAAATGTAATATGTCTGTCTGTCTGTGTCCATCTGTAGAATGTTGTTTTAAATTGTTGTGTCCCATCCAGAACTCTTAGGGTAAAGAGCGGATAATAAATGAAACATTACTGTGTTGCTGTTGTTGTGAAATAGTTTGCTGTTTCTTATAGGGTGCCTTTATATCTTATACCGTTGGTAATACAGTGGTACCTCGGTCGTCGAACGTAATCCATTCCAGAAGACCGTTCGACTTCCGAAACTTTCTACAACCGAGGCGCAAAGGGTGGTCAGCAAAGTCAGTGGAGAAAAAAGGAAAAACGAAACTCCCTGGAAGCCGTTCAACTTCCGAAAAGCGTTCAAAAACAGAAGCAATTACTTCTGGGTTTTCGGCATCTGAAAACCGAAACGTTCAGCTTCTGAGAAGCTCGAAAACCAAGGTACCACCATATTGTATGTATGTACAGTGGTACCTCGGGTTAAGTACTTAATTCGTTCTGGAGGTCCGTACTTAACCTGAAACTGTTCTTAACCTGAAGCACCACTTTAGCTAATGGGGCCTCCTGCTGCTGCTGCCGCACCACCGGAGCACAATTTCTGTTCTCATCCTGAAGCAAAGATCTTAACCTGAAGCACTATTTCTGGGTTAGCGGAGTCTGTAACCTGAAGCGTATGTAACCTGAAGCGCATGTAACCCGAGGTACCACTGTATTTGGAAAATAATAAGTAATTAAGTAAAGTTCACACACCCAAACTTTAGGGGGTTAGGTTTTTTTACCCCCCCCCCCTTGGCTGAAATTCTCCCTCTCCTGCCCAATTTCTTGAGTGACGTGTTTTCTTGCCAGAAAAGAATCAGCCAAAAAACATTGGCTCAGAATGGTATATACACTCTTATACATTCCCCTCCCCTCTCCCTTGCACCTGTTTACAGCTGCATGGGATGAGCATCTAGCATTAAGCGGCCTGCCGTGATGATGGCTCACACAAGATGTATACCTTTGCAGCTGGCATCTGCAAGCCCCAGCCCTAAAAATGAAACAAGTGCCTTGCAGACTGCCAAGGTGGGAAGGTAATGAATAAAAAGTGACTACGGAGAGCAGCCAGTCCCTCTGCTCATTTGAAAAAAGGAGGAGGAATGAGCTGTGTCAGCAAGCAAGACAGAGACAGATGACTTCTTTCTCCACGATCTCTGGATGGGACTCCCATTAAGGACAGTCAAAGTTCTCTGTTACACTAAGTTTCCAGTAGATTTATTCAGCCCACATTTCTTGAGTTATTTTCTAAGTCCTGTCTTGAGGGTGATGGACCAGGGGAGAGAAATCATGCATGGGGGGGGGGGAATCCAAGAGGTATTTCATAAGATCCCAGGTACCTGAGCCTACAAAGGGGGCGGATGTTAAAGACTTGAAAATAGAAGGGGAAGAAGTGCTGGGGAGGTGAAAGGTTTCAAGGTGCAAGGATTCATTTTGTTGGGATGGGCAATTGGCAAGGAAACGGGGGCAATTGGCCGGCCTCCAGCTGGCTCCAGCCCACCGGCTGGCAGCCGGGCAAACTCCAGTCCTTGGATCAGCGTGTAACTGCGACTCAAGTCTCAGACACCTTCAGAGGCTGAGCACGAAAGCCAGCAGAGATAAGAACTCTTCGCAACAGAAGGGCAGATTAGAGGCTGTGTAAAGCGTATTTACAGGCATTTTATTCAGCAACAGGACAAAGGGAAAACATGTCTGTGTTGAATGGTTTCTTTAAATGTAAAGGTTCATCATTGTTCCACCCGATGTGTATGTCTTTAAGGGGCCAGATCAAGGGCCAGAGCAAAATAACGAGACCCAGCTTTACAGCTGTGAAACATAGCAGGTGCTGCTGAGTTGTATTGATTTAGCTGTGTCAGCAATTGGGTGTAGTATATAAGGAGCAGCACCTAGCTCTCCCATTACCCTGGGGGATGGGTCGGGTCTGGTTTGTTGTTGATGTATTTAGTGTATAAGGAGTTTTTGTTTTTGTTATTAAAACCTTGTTTAAGTTATTTTTGAGTCCCTTTTTAATGCATGGTCTCCCCAGCAAGCTCTCTGCAGCACTACCATACTGCAAATAGCCAACATCTTTGGTTATGGGCCCAGCTACTGAGTGGATGACTGCATATTTTTGGACTCTGAGAAAGGTTTGAAAACTCCTTCTCCTGTTGGCATAGTTCTGTGGGTCTGGAAGAGTTCCAGAATGGTTGACCGGGTTCCTGAAGCTGAGAAGGCTCTGGTCTTCCCACAGCTGACAGATGAGAACTATAGTTTATGGTCTTTTCGGGTGGAGGCGCTTTTGACCTCTAGAGAATTATGGACCTATGTAACTGATGACCCTCCTGACCCTGTGACTAATGCTTGGTCGAAAGGAGATGCAAAAGCCAGGGCGATAATTAATTTGGCAGTCAGCGACCAGCAAGTAGTCTATATAAGGAATAAGAAAACTGCCAAAGAAATGTGGGACAGTCTTGCAGCAGTGCATATTAGAAAAGAGTCAGCGTCTGCACTGACGTTTTTCAAGCAGTTGTACCAGACGAAGTTGCAGCCTGGTGGTGATTTGGCAGCACACTTGAGACGTCTGGAGGCAATACGCTGCGAATTAATTCGAAGGGACATGGAGATACCTGATATTCAGTATGTTTTTATCATTCTTTGTTCCCTTAATGAGGACTTTGATGGTATAGCTAGCCAGATATCTGCCGTTCCACCAGCACAATTAACTGTGGAAGGGGTAACGGCAAGATTAATGGGCGAGTTGGATAGAAGGGAGGCTTGTGCCATAAGCACTCCTATTTCCAGAAGTAATGAGGAACGCCATATGCAAACTTGTGATGATACGACTGCATTTAAAGCTGCCAAGCGTTACTGGTCCTGCAATAAGCAAGGACATTTTGCAAAGGACTGCAGATCCAAAAGAAAGCAAAGTACTCCCAAGTCTGTTTCTGTCCGTCAGTCATGGTTGTCAGCCCAGCAGCCGACATCGTATCATAAAGACAGAAATGAGCCGCGAGCTTTTCATGTTCGGACTACAGATCGTAAAAGAATTAAAGGTGCCAAGTGGAATTCTTTTATTGTGGACTCAGGAGCATCTCAGCATATTTGCAATGATCGAAGTTTGTTTATTTCTTTCGAAGAGGAAATTGGTAATGTACATTTAGCCAATTCACAAGTCTTGCAGTCGCTTGGCAGGGGTACTGTTAAACTTGACTCTTTAAACATTACAATAGCGAACTGTATTTACTGCCCATCAGTGAACAATTTATTATCAGTAACGTGTTTTGCTCGTCAAGGCATAACTGTGCGTTTCTTAAAGTCAATGTGTGAGTTTTTCGATGGGACCAAACGTCTATTGTATGCCCAGGACTCTGATGGTTTATATAGACTGTATTTTCGCACCTACTCACAATCACCTATAAATTGCAGAGCAGCACAGTCAATCCAGGGGTTGAGGAATGTAAGGCCACATTCCGGGTGTGTCCATGAGGCGCACAGACTTCTTGGACATCTGAATTTTGCTGATGTAATTAAGACAAAGAATATTGTTAATGGCCTCAACTTAAAACCATGTAAATTCTATATGCAATGTCTATCCTGTTGTAAGAATAAGATTAAGGTTGCACGCAAGGATAGGTGCTCAGATAGGAAAGTAACTGAGCCATTTAAGCGTGTACATTGTGATTTGGTTGGGTCACTCCCACCATCATTAGGAGGTTCGAAGTACTGGCTTAACCTGATAGACCAGTATAGTAGATATTGTTGGACTTATGCAATAGCTGAGAAGTCCCAAGCATTTGAGAAGTACAAAGATTTTTGCAACTGGGTAAAAACGCACTTTAACAAGCCTATTAAGAACCTGTTTTCTGACTGGGGCGGGGAATTTGTTTCTGAGGATTTTGAGAATTTCCTGGAAGCGCAGGGGACTACTCATGAGTTATCTTGTCCCCAAAATCCCTGGCAAAATGGGCTTGTTGAAGTTGTGCAGCGTGACCTACAGGCAGGGGTTAAAACTTATCTGCACGATGCTAATCTGCCCAAAGACTTTTGGGCTGAAGCGCTTAATGCCTTTTGTTATGTTAGAAATCGCAGTTATTCTGGTTTAGATGTCACCCCCTATGAGAAGCTGTTTAAAAAATGCCCTAATCTGAAATACCTACTCATTTGGGGTTCGGATGTAATTATGCATTATCCCGCTAAGCAGAAATTGGGTGAGCGTAGTGTTCAGGGAAAATTAATGGGCTACCAGCAGGGGGCGTACAGAATTTACATACCAGCAACTGGTAAATTTCATATTACCAGAAGCATGATACAAACTGTAAATTGGAATGGGGTTGCTGTTTTCCAAGATGCTAACGGTATAGATGATACTGAGGAAGAAGAGGTAGAAGCAGCAGCAGCAGGAAATGGTGCTTCTGAATTAATGGAAAAAGATGAAAAGCCTGTTGAATCTGATAATTTGTTTGATGATTTAAAGTCACAGGAACCCAAGGGGAGGTTAGATTCTCTTGAGTTTTCTGACCGTGAGCTTAGCCTACAGGCACCTCTTCAGTCTGACAATGATGATTTACAACCTGAAACTAGTAGTTTACTTAGTCCCATTAAGTCTGAGGAGTCTGACTCTCCTTCCGGACTAAGACGTTCAGATAGGAGACAGAAGCCACAACGTTTTGCAGATGAACATTTTAATACTGTGTATGCCAATAAGGCGGTTTTTGAGCCAAAAAGCTACAATGATGTTCAGAATTTACCTAAGCACCAAGCTGTAAATTGGTATAAAGCTATGAACTCCGAGATAGCTTCTTTAAAAGAGCACAACACTTGGTCTCTTGTACCACAAACCCCAGATATGAGACATATTGATTCAAAATGGGTTTATAGAGTTAAAATGAATGACAAAAATGAAGTTGTAAGGTACAAGGCTAGATTAGTTGCTAGGGGTTTTCAACAAATTCCAGGCGAAGATTATGATTTGTGTTATTCACCAAGTGTAAAATATGAAACAGTTAAGCTTTTGTTAAAAGATCCATCACAACGTGGACATTCTGTTTATCACCTAGATATAAAAACCGCATATTTGTTTGCAGATTTAAAAGAACAAATTTTTATGCGTGTCCCTGAAGGCATAGACGCTGCTGAAGGTTTGGTATGCAAATTAAATAAATCCCTTTATGGTCTGCACCAAAGTGGAAGGAATTGGCACCAAACTTTAGCAAAAGAAATGCTGGATATTGGTTTTTCACAAGGAAAGGCAGACAATTGTGTGTTTATAAAGGAAAGGGCAAACTCTGTAACAAAAATATGTGTGTATGTAGATGACGTGTTAATTTCTACAAAAACTAAACAGGAATATGAACAGTTAGTATCACAGTTACAGAAGAAATTTGATGTGGTGGAATTTGGCATAGCTAAAAATTACTTATCCATGCAAATTGAGAAAGGCAAAATGCATCTTTTCTGGTTCATCAAATTGCAAAAATTGATGATCTTGTTGAAATGCTATGTTTAGAAAATGCAAATGGGAAGGAAACGCCTATGGTGTGTGGTTTCACCTTTACAGGTGAAGATAAGCCATTTCCTAACAAAGCTTTGTATCGTTCTGCTATAGGCAAGCTAAATTTAATTCAAAGAATCTCAAGACCAGATATAACTTATGCTTTTCACTTTCTGGCAAAATTTGTGGAAAAGCCCACTACGCAATGTTTATCTGCTCTTAAGAGAATGGTAATGTACCTTAAACATACCAAACATTATAGGTTGCACTTTACATCAAATATTGACAAAGGTTTTGAAATTTTCTGCGATTCATCTCATTCAGTGGAACAAAATGATTGCAGGGGTGTGTCTGGTATGGTGTTTTGTTATAACAGTTGTCCACTTGAATGGAAGTCCCAGACACAAACCATTATTTGTCTCTCCACAACAGAGAGTGAATTATGTGCATGCGTTCAGGCCATTCGTGATATAGAATGGTATCTGCAAGTATTCGCAGACCTACAGATGCAAGTAACACTACCAGTAAAAGTTTACCTTGATTCCCAGAGTGGACTTGATATCCTGTGTTCAGAGACCAATACGCAGCGCACTAGAGTCTTAAGATTACGTTTACAGTTTGTAAAGAAACTAATTGCTGACGAAATGATTGTATTTGAATATGTTCCAGGTGATAATCAAATTGCGCACATTTTTACAAAAGCACTTCCAAGGGTTACACATGAAAGACATGTACAAAATATGCTTTATGTTTTTGTTCCACAATGATGAACCACAGGGGAAATGTTGAATGGTTTCTTTAAATGTAAAGGTTCATCATTGTTCCACCCGATGTGTATGTCTTTAAGGGGCCAGAGCAAGGGCCAGGGCAAAATAACGAGACCCAGCTTTACAGCTGTGAAACATAGCAGGTGCTGCTGAGTTGTACTGATTAAGCTGTGTCAGCAATTGGGTGTAGTATATAAGGAGCAGCACCTAGCTCTCCCATTACCCTGGGGGATGGGTTGGTGGTTGGGTCTGGTTTGTTGTTGATGTATTTAGTGTATAAGGAGTTTTTTGTGTGTGTAATTAAAACCTTGTTTAAGTTATTTTTGAGTCCCTTTTTAATGCATGGTCTCCCCAGCAAGCTCTCTGCAGCGCTACCATACTGCAAATAGCCAACAGTCTGCTCCCCTTCGTGTCCAAGCAAACAACATAAGCAAAAGCTATACACACAACGAAGTTCCCAGCAGGCTGTGCTGGAATGTAAACAGACATGTGACATACAACAACACATATCTGTTAAGGTGGAACGGAACATTAATATCCTAACACATTTCCCCCCGGTGTTTCCACTACCAGTTTTATGGACCTAGAAGTCTGGAGATACTCCTACCAGCAGTTCTGGTGTCTCATGGGTTCTCTAAGAACATAAGAAAGGCCTGCTTGATCAGTCCAGTGAAACCATCTCATGGCCCAGCATCCTGTTCTCACAGTGGCCAGCCAGATGCCTGTGGAAAATGCACAAAGAGGACCCAAAGAACACTCTCCCCTCCTGTGGTTTCCAGCAACTGGTATTTGGAAACATTGCAGAGCATAACCATCATGACAAGTAGGCATGGATAGCCTTCTTCTCCATGAGTGTCTAATCTTTTAAAGTCATCCATGTTGGCAACCATCACTGCCTCCCAAGAGAGAAAGTTCCATAGTTTAACTATGTGCTTCATGAAGAAGTATCTTCCAACATGATGATGATGATGATGATAATAATAATAATAATAATAATAATAATAATAAATAAATAAATAAATAAATAAATAAATAAAAATTATTATTTAAACCCTGCCCATCTGGCTGGGCTTCCACAGCCACTCTGGTCGGCTTCCAACAAAATATTAAAATACCGTAATACATCAAACATTCAAAGTTTCCCTAAACAGGGCTGCCTTCAGATGTCTTCTAAAAGTCTGGTAGTTGTTCTCTCTGACATCTGGTGGGAGGGCGTTCCACAGGGCGGGTGCCACTACCAAGAAGGTCCTCTGCCTGGTTCCCTGTAACTTGGCTTCTCTCAGTGAGGGAACCGCCAGAAGTCCCTCGGCACTGGACCTCAGTGTCCTGGTAGAACAATGGGGGTGGAGACGCTCCTTCAGATATACTGGACCGAGGCCAATTGGGACTTTAAAGGTCAGCACCAACACTTTCAATTGTGCTTGGAAACGTACTAGTTTCATTGCTGTGTCCATGAGTTCTAGTGTTGTTGTTGTTTAGTCGTGTCCGACTCTTTGTGACCCCATGGACCAGAGCACGCCAGGCACTCCTGTCTTCATTCTAGTGTTAGACTAATCTAATTTCACCCTCCTTTTTCTTCAGCAGTCTTCATAAAGAGGTCCAAACACACCACCAAGTTGGATACAACACCTCCCCAGCTTTTGTAATGCTTTTTAGATTCACAAAGTGTGTGCCCTGAAATATTCATTTTATGTGAAGAGTAAGCTTTCTCTGATATTTATCGAACAAAACAGGCCAGTTACACAAACGTTAAAATATCAACGTCTATCATTAAAATATGCAATTGAAAGGAAACTCACATTAAAACAGTATACCAACTAAAATCAGAAACTCAAGTCAACTGCTTTGGCAGATGCACTGGGAAAAAATGTTTATTTTATATTTTGCA